CAGGTCAAGGGGGGGGATCCTGCCCCTCTACTCCCCTCTCGTGAGACCCCACCTGGAGTACTGCGTCCAGCTCTGGAGTCCCCAACATAAGAAGGACATGGACCTGCTGAAGTGTGTCCAGAGGAGAGCCACAAGGATGATCCGAGGGCTGGAGCACCTCTCCTATGAGGAGAGGCTGAGAGAGCTGGGGCTGTTCAGCCTGGAGAAGAGAAGGCTCCGGGGAGATCTTATTGCGGCCTTCCAGTCCCTAAAGGGGGCCTACAGGAGAGCTGGGGCAGGACTTTTTACTAGGGCATATAGTGATAGGAGGAGGGGAAATGGCTTTAAACTGGAAGAGGGCAGGTTTAGATTAAACATTAGGAAGAAGTTTTTCACTATGAGGGTGGTGAGGCACTGGAACAGGTTGCCCAGAGAGGTTGTTGAGGCCCCATCCCTGGAGGTGTTCAAGGCCAGGCTGGACATGGCCTTGGGCAACCTGGTCTAGTGGGAGGTGTCCCTGCCCATGGCAGGGGGGTTGGAACTCGATGATCTTCCAGGTTCTTTCCAACCTAAACCATTCAATGATTCTATGATTAATACACAGTTGGAGAGCTGTGAGATCTCAGAGAATGGGAAAACAAGCATTTACATTTCAGCTTAGAGTTAGAAAGATATGTTCTGTTGGAGGTGGTTTTCAATGCAAAATGCTCTTTCTGCCAAACATTGCCAATTTCTATTTCTTTACTGCTGGGAAACAATTAGTTTGATTTTTCACAGCTGCTTTTTTGGGAAGTTCTGGATATTTTCACTTTTGTAGGCTTAAAGAGCATTAAAGTTGAGTTTTCAGTCAGGCTGCTGTTTTGCTGCTGCAAAGTGGGGAGTCTCAATACCTTAATGTCTCCCACCTGTTGCAAGTTGGCCGACAAGATGGTGGAAGCTGAAAACTGAGGAGGCGAAGAGCTGGCATCTCGAACCTCTGGCATCTTGCTCTTGTCTGTGATACCACCTATTAGTTAGAGGGAAATTCCAGATCAGTGGCATCAAGCCACAAAACCGTGTTTTACTTCCCCTGAAACCGATTTTGTCAGAAGTTCTGACTTGCCTGAAATATGACTTTATTTTCCTCACCCTAACCTAGAAGGTCTCTTTCTCTTAAATGTTAAATAGCTCTGGTCATGACTTCCCTTTTCCTTGGGTTACCACTGGTTCTTTTCCCCTTTCCCCATGGTGGAGTCTGACAAAGTTAAGAGCTATCCAATACTATGTAATTTTTCCAGAAGTGCCATGAAGCTTTAGCAGACTGCAAGGCTTGTGAGCGAAAGGCATTATGCAGAAGCCCAGGAAGACTGATCCTTCCAGTGGCATCCCTCAGCAGAATTGCTTATAGTTAATACTGCCAAGGGAAGGGAGAAGTGCACAATGCATATGTTCCCCTGTCTGCATGTGCACACTCATAAATGCACACAATATGTAATTTCCTTCCACTGTTGCCTTTGTTCCTTGCCACTAATCCTTCAGTAGGTCCTGAGAGAAAAATGAATGTATTTTATCTTTAAAATAGGATGTGATAAGGAAGTGCTGTAGTAGAATTTCAGTTTCCTAACTTGCATGCCTGAGACAGAAAGTGCTTAGCTTGAAGAGTACTGGTGGAAGAGATAACTTGCAATATTATATTTTGAATGTGCCCAATTTTAGCTATGTGACCCGGCTGGAAAGAGCAGTGCTAGTGGGGCCCAACCTATCCATGTTATTAAGAGTTTTTGCTAGTGGAATGTATCCATCATTATAAACCTTCTGAGGTTAACAAAGCTCAGAGAAGGGGATGGTACATTTATCTTTGGGAAGCCAACACAGACAATCTGTTCATTTTTACACCAGTGTTTGAGTCTTGTGTGCTTTTTGCATAAATTTTTACTTTGTGATGCAAAGCAAATATTTTGTAACAATTCAGCTGAATGGTCTAGACAGCCTGGGTTTCATAGGAGGCATCCACATCACTGAAGCCTGAATATATAGAACTGGTGAATGACTGTGCTTCTATTAGAGACTTTGTCACCTGCAGGTCAGTGCTCTGACTCCAGGTGCAAGGGAATTAAGCAATATGAAGTTCTGGGAAAATGTGCTGTGAATGTTTGAATCTGGAGAAAAAGTCCAGTCTGCGCCTAAGCCTTGAGTCACATTACTTTTTATCTATTATTTAACTTTATTTGGATGTTTTGTGGGGAAAACAAGAAAGCGAATGATAGGTAGTGCTTCCTTCATTTGCTTTCGTGGTTTTAAGAGGCTTGCGATATACCATAGTGCAATATTGTGTGAGTGAGGAGAAATATATTTTCTTATCACAGATCATTTTATTGGTCTTGTTAATTGATTGCTAGAAATAATGCTTCTCCCCTTCCTCCATTACTTCTTCCCCTTTCAGATTTATAATATCAATCTAGTGTGTTCAGTGGCAGCTTCAAGCCTGCAACACATGGGCTTTTGCTTTCTGGGCTTGGCTCAGGGGAATGCAGGACATTGAAGGTAAAAGTCCAGACAGGTATCAGACAGTCTGGCTTTAAATAATAGAGGTTTGTTGGCACATACTCTTTGTCAATAGCAACAGTATCTCCTTCTATACAAAAGCACGATATTAAGATACTGTTTTCTTATTTTTTAACTGTTGTGGGGCAAGTTCACTGTTCATCAGTGTAAAGAAAGATGGAGACAAAAGTACTATATGACTCACACCTGGCTCTACACAGCCTGTGGGTTTCATTCACCCTCTTTTCCCAACTGTTTCCTGAAATCCCATTTAGCTACTTCACGGTCACTCCGTAGATCCACCCGATCTGAAGAATCTAGCACATTCCCTTCCCTCTGAAATTACCTGACCCTGATCAATCCTTTGGGGGTGGGAGCGGTGGAAGAATAAGAAATAGGAGAGGAGTTTGAGGTTGCAACCTTGAAAGAATGCAAGAGCTGAGTACACATTGCTGGTCAAGTGCATCATCTGGGAGCCTTTTGCTGGGCTTTTCTATTCCCAGCTCCATCTTTTTTCTGTGCTGAGTACTTCTGTCTTCCTTACCTTCACCAACAAATCTATGGACAATATCAGAGTACTTAGCATGGAAGAGTGTTCAGTGAGAGTATTTTCTCATGCTCGCCCTTTTAGGACACTGAGGAGCTTCATGAGTTAGCCTCAAAACATATGTGGAGCTGGGATCATATGCCCCCCATGGCTTACCTATTTTTCAAAGTTGCTGGACAGGATCAATGCATTTTTTTTTTTTTTTCTTCTTACTTACTCTTGCTTGGATATCTGATAAAGATGAATTTATTTGTCAAAGTGATACTGCGTACAGTCCTGATGGGTGATGTCTGCAGTAGAGCTGAGCCAGTCCTGTGCAGGAGCTGGCTAATGAAACAAACAGCTGCTTCATCCCAAGAAAGTAGGCAGGAAGCTAGTTATAATTACGAGCCTCATGGCATGAGCCAACAGTTTTCAGGAAATACTACTGCTGTGTATTATGCCTTACGCTTGCATTTTTTTCTGTTTCCCGCAGTTTGTTAAATATACAACAGTTCTCTTTTTCCTCCCCCAGCACTGTACCAATGATGGAAGCTATATTTAGTTCTTGTCAAGTTACAGCAGGCTTTTTATAATCACAAAGTAGTGAAAAAAAGGCCAGCAACACAGTGAAGGCAAATATTTGAAGCATATCATAAACCTTTCTTGTAATCTAAATATTTAGAAAGAACAAGGGTGTAGGAGGATGCTGCACTTTTTAAAACATGGGAAAGACAAGGAACAGCCTTCTAAGTGCGCTGACATGTTGGAGAAGTCTTTTTGCTGCGACATGAGTGAGCAAAAGGGCTTCTTCCTTTTGTTCAGAACATGTTTGCTAACTGAACATGGCTTAGAAAAGTCAATGTCTAACTTTCCATTAAAAGAAAGAACTGCCCAGCCAGCTTGACTGGCACATGGAGGACTGCAGTTGAGAAGAACCGCCACCACTATCCCCAGTGAAATAAAAAGAAATATTGTCCCAGTGCCTTTTGACCAACTGAGTAGCATCCTGAAAATACCAATAAATTTAAGATTTTCCTTTAGTAAACATTGAAGTGGAAAAGCTTGCGGTATGGACTGAGGGGCAAGAAGAGAGTTGCTCAGTCTGTTGCTGAAAACGGCCTTCTGCCAAAACACCCCTATATATGCCCGGTACATTTTTAGTTTCTGACTGTTCATTTTTAAGTTGTTTTATTCTGACAAATGTCTCTGCTTCAATTTTTTTCTTATTTTATGTTATTCATTCTCAGCTGTTTGTGACGTTTTCCTTTCCCATTCTCTCTGTCATGGAAAATGGTGCTGCAGCTTGGGAGCCATCAGAATAATTCAAGTGGAGATAATCAAGGCTTTGTTGTGAGGCACCACAAGCAAATTCTGTGCTGCAATCTGTGAAACTCATAAGTGAAACATCAGGTTCCCCAAGGCTTTCTGCTTTAATCTGTTTTCTAGGAACCTTCTTTTGGGGGCCCTGAAATGTTCCTGTGTTTCATTTCATTTCTCAATTTTTTTAAGCTCTAGTTTCAGTAATTAGTGAAACCTGAATTGATACCAAATAGAATTTGACCTGTGAGTTGCCAGGTGGAAATAGAATTCACTGTGTGCAGCATGTAGGGAA